TATATATATATATATATACTGTTCTTAATTTCCCTCATATCCAGAAGATTAAAGTAGCTGATATGAGGATGTTAAGGTAGATGTGTAGCTATACCAGGTTGGATAAGATTAGGAATGAAGTTATTCGGGATAAGGTGGAAGTAACCCCTGTGGAGGATAAGATGCGGGAAGCGAGGTTGAGATGGTTCGGGCATGTTAAGAGGAGAAGTATAGAAGCCCCAGTCAGAAGGTGCGAGAGGTTAGCCTCAACGGATATTAGGAGGGGTAGAGGCAGGCTTAAGAAGTCTTGGGGAGAGGTTATTAGGCGTGACATGGCGCAGTAGAAGCTGACGGAGGACATGACCCTGGATAGTAAGGTGTGGAGGTCGAAGATTAGGGTAAAAGGCTAGTAGGTAGTCGGGCGTTTCTCTTTGTTCTACTCAGTTCACTAGAATTAGTGTTAGTATGAAATCCTTCTATTCATTGGCTTTTACTACCTCGAGTTTAACTGCTTCCTTGACTTCAGTCTTTTTATCTTGTTGTCAATCCTACTTGTTGCTCTTCTTTCTTTTTCTCTCTTTCTTTCTTTTCATTTCATCCGTTCTCCAGCCAAAAAACAGTTTCTCTGCCCTTCCAGTGTAGGGGTAAGGCTGCGTACATCTTACCCTTCCCGGACCTCACTTGTGGGAAATTACTGGGTTTGTTGTTGTTGTTCTTCTTCTTAATTTCAAAACTGAGGACAGCTGGGAAGCAACGAACTTTTTAAAATTATATCAGACCACTACTTTTTGGCACGTTATAGAAACAAAATTTTGATCATCAGAAATTGACTAGCCAATTAAAGGAGCAGACCTATGTTTGCTCCTAAAGACATATGTTAGGAACAGCGAAAAGCAAAATATCGAGAGCACATTCCGAAAACAGATAAATATTATACTTTGCAACTTGCAAGATTACATACCACGAACTCGGCTTGTCAGATCATTATCCCCAGGAGCACGACAGAAAACTAAATCTTGAGGGAATTTCTTCATCAAATGATCAATAATCTTTTGACGCATCAGTGGAACTCTTTCTAGTGCAGTACATGAAAGTTTCATCAGTGGCATAGTAAAGGGTCTGATCCCATCTGCTTCCTACAATTAAAAGACATTTCAGGACTAGGGTGACAAAAACACACAACTTAAACATCAAGTGAAATGGAAGTGTCAAATTTTCATTGAAATAAGATAAATGGTATCAATGTATACACACACAAAAACACATGAATAACAAAACAATCAACCCCACAAAAAAAAAAAAAAAAAAAAAAAAAAAAAAAAAAAAAAAAAAAAAAAAAAAAAAAAAAAAAAAAAAAAAAAAAAAAAAAAAAAATACAAAAGAATTTCCCAGTTACTTCCAGTAAAGTTATATACACCGTAATTTTTACACTATGCGGTCATCTAAAGGATATCTACAGGTAAACTTTCTTTAAATATAGGATTTTTGTTCTTGAAAATAGGACTGGTTAAGTGCTCCAACAGGTAGATGGGATAAAAATTTCTTTACACCGACATTGTATATAACTTAAACTCTTCCGAAACAAGCTAATGAACCAAATTGCATATGTGAGAAAATGGGGGAGAATTTTACAAAAGAATTTCCCAATCACTTCCGGTTAATTTGTATACACCGTCACTATAAATCTGAGGTCACCTAAAAGATATCTACAACAGGTTAAGTGCTCCAACAAGTAAAGGTGACTTGATGGCACAAAACACATGAATGACAAAACAACCATTCCACAAAAAACTAAGGAAAATTTACAGAAAGAATTCTTAATCACTTCTCTTAATCCTAAATATACTAATGAACTAAAATGAACACCTGGTATTCCCATTCAGCAGCAATAGCTTTAGCAAGAGCTAAAGTTGGGCATTTGAGAGGGCGCTTAGAAGGGGTTTTAAGGGTACGATAATCAAGCATAACACTCCAACCAATTCCATCATCAGCTTCTCTAGTTGTCACTTTCTTGTAAAACCTCTTCCCCACAATTGATCCAGTCATGAATGACATAGGCATAGACACAGATGCTGAATCTTGTGATGATAAAGGTGAAGTATTTTTTGGACCTTTTATGATAATATTATCATTGGTTGTTGCAGAATTTGGATCTCCGCCGTAAAAAGTGAAGGAGGAAGAAGATGGGTCATCTGATGATTCGGGTTGTGCTGAAGTTGCTAAGTTACTGAAAATACGGGTTTGAGAAGCGGTTAGGGTTTTAAGGAAGGTAAAGTTTGTTGCTTTAAGACTTCTTCTCACGATTTCAGCCGCCATAGCTCTGAGCTGAGTTGAAGCTAGGCAGAGTTGATCGGTGCAGCTGAAGAAGATGCTGTATTTTGCAGCTGCTCATTCTGTTTTGGGCCTAGGCCCAATTTATTCTTACAGGAACCATTCCTCAACTAAACATTTAGGCCCAATTGCTTTTTCTATAGGGCCCGAAGATGTAAAAATTGCACGGTCGCCCCCATTTAATCTGTATCATTTTTAAATTTTTTTTTACTTGTACCCACTTTTTAAACAACTTCAGGACCTTTTTTCCTCTCTTTTCTCCTTCTTCTTCTTTTTCTTCTTCTTTGGGTGACAGTAATTTTATATGGTGTTTGTGAACATATTTTAAGATAGTTTATGATATTTTACAGTGATGAGATGTTATGACTCTTTATTTTTTACTAATGCTTAGGGTTTTTTCTTCTTCTTTTTCTTAATTGTAAAATTGGTTCGTTAGATTTATTGTTATTTTGATAAATTAATGATTGGGGTTTATTCCTGATGATATTTGGAGGTTATGTTTTAAACTTGAGCTCATTTGGAGTAGATTAGGTATTAAACCGGATATTGTATTGTTATAATTCAAATAACAAATTTCTATTTCTGAACAATTTATACTTTAGGTCTATTCGAACTTAAGTGCATGAAAACGTTGGTTGCACTTCAGACCTTTTGGCCTTAAGTGCATCTGAAGTGTAACTTTTCACTTCAGACTTATTGGCATTAAGCGTAGGAAAACGTTTGTTGCACTTTAGACCTTGTGGCCTTAAGTACATGAAACCATTGGTTACACTTAAGACATATTTGGCCTTAAGTGCATCTGAAGTGTAACTTTTCACTTCAGACTTATTGGCATTAAGCGTAGGAAAACGTTTGTTGCACTTTAGACCTTGTGGCCTTAAGTACATCTGAAGTGCAATTTTTCACTTCAAGCTTATTGGCCTTAAGTACATGAAACCATTGGTTACACTTAAGACATATTTGGCCTTAAGTGCATGTGAAGTGTAATTTTTCAATTCAGACTCATTGGCCGTAAGTGTATGAAAATGTTTGTTGCACTTTAGTCCTTTTGGTCTTAAGTGCATCTAAAGTGTAATTTTTCACTTCAGACTTATTAGCCTTAAGTGCAAAAACCATTGGTTGTACTTCAGACCTTTTTGGCCTTAAGTGCATCTGAAATGTAATTTTTTCAGTTCAGACTATTTTTTTTAACTACAGACCCGATAAATCTAAAGTTGATTGTAAAGTGGGTAGGCTTGCAATTTTTTTTATAGTGGGTATAGGTTCAATGGTGACCCCAAAACCGAGTATAGATATAAAGCCCCGAAGATGATAGTCTTACATTTTGGGCTTGAAACAAAATGGAATAACAAAGTGCAACAAGATATTTTTTCTCTTTTCTTTAACCTTGTTTAATCCAACAAAAAATTGGAAAATTAATATTCATTTTTTTAGTACTCCGTTATTCAACACTATTTTACTTCAAGATCTTTGATAGCACCATTTTATCAAGTAGTAATAGGTTGGTATAAATTTTACCATTTTCAAAATTTTAAATTCATGAATTGCGGATGTAAATTCATTTTATGAGAGATAATACATTTCATTTTTGTAGCCACCTCGTCTCCCACCCACCCCCAAAAAAAATAACTACCCCAGTTATTTCGAAAGAAATATATGTATATATATCTTAAATAAAATATATATATATATATATATATCGTAAGACTCAAAGTTTAGACAACTCCGGTGGTCGATTTGGAGGGGAGACACAATTTGACTTTTAGTAAGCTGTGTGGAATCTGGACTAGATTCTCACTCCAACATTTGCTCAAATTTTTATTGACCGGCCACTTTCAAATCCTGAGCCTGATCTTGTCAATGACTTAAAATTTCGCTACCAGTTTAGAATATAAATTCAAAAATTCAATTTAAACGTAAAGATTATAAAAGCATAAGGTTTTATTACGTATGGTTGAAAATTTAGAGTAAAAGTTTAAGCTGACTTTCCCTTCAGACACATCCGAAAAAATTGTGCAATTTGATCGCTTCCAAATTATTTGCCCTAATTTTTAGCTTATCAATTTATATTGCACATATTTGTTTTAATATATNATTCGTCAGTCTGCAACCGAAACTTCAGTCATTGGGATTCGCATCTAATTACAGAGCAGCCCATCTTTTTAGCTTATTTTCTATAAATAGCGATAAGTATTTGAAACGAATAAAGATTACATATTGTCCTGTTTTTTGAAGTTACAAAAGAATTTAAAAGAAAGTTGTTGATTTTGATGGGGTCGTGGAATTCAGTTTCGTTGGAAGTATTGTACAATATTTTTGGATGGATTGCGTTTGTCTTTTAGTCTATTAGCTTTTATCCTCAGGTCGTACTGAATTTCCGTAGGAAAAGGTTTTGTACTTCTTCTCTACATTATTTATTTCTTCTTTTACTACTAGTTCTTTTCTTTGTTTAATAATTTTGTTTCTTGCGTGAATCTTTTTTAATGAAAAATAGTGTGGTGGGGTTGAATTTTAATTTCGTGGTGTTGAATTTGACAAAGCACTCGTCCTATCTCATCTACAATGTTTTCATGTTCTTTAGTTCTGCCGTTCAGAGGCAATACCATCGTCGATATAGCTCTAAGGAGATTTATAACACCACCTTCAAATCCTTTTCTCCTTTTCGTTTTTTCTATTGAATTGTTTGAACCGTGCAAACACATTGAACTATTTACATTATATATGTTACGGTTGCTCATATGCTTGTTTGGATACCATATTGAATTGCAACAATTGTTCCAATGTTGAAAAGTTATAATTCATTCATTATAAACATGAATTTGGACGTGTTATATTCGTTTAAGCACATTACGTCTTCAATTAAATAAAAAATATTTGTTTTTGTCCCTTTATATAGGAAATATGTTAATTTGAACTATTTATATAGAGATAAATATATTTTTTGCATAAATAAATTTGTAATTAAACAGTTTAACAATTAATAATTCACTAAATTTATGAAGATTCACAAGTATAGGGAGTAGAAGTGCACAATTTGATTAATTAATAGAAGGCTATTATATATGTTTAATCAAATACCACAAGGATAAAAAAAATTACAAATATTTGATGGACAAATTTCCCTTCTATTTTATTTCCTCATGTTAAGTTAATTCTCTGTTTTATAGTGAAGTTAATGACTAATGTGCCAAACTGCTGATTACCTTCATTGTTTAATTTCAGATGATTCTTGTAGCTGCTAATGATGTGGCTTTCTCTACCCATGTTGTTGCTTTAACAATATTTACCTTATTTCATATTGCTATTTATGATGTAAGTATACGTTCTTTTTTAACTCTTTTCAAATCAAATATTATATGCATACTGAAATGTGAGTTTATGACTTGGTTCTCATAAACATATTTCTTTTTACAGCGTGAAAATCAGAAGGTCTCAAAAATTGCTATTACAGTTGTCAGTGTTGCAGTTTGTGCATGCTTTCCCTAAGCATTCTTGGCTATGGCTAGTTTCCTGCTTCAAGTAAGCCACTTTCTTTCAAATCCACAATTAGTTCTACTTAACACCCTTTTCTTCATGTTTAAAAATTTTCATAACAATTAAAAAAAAAAATTGGTCAAGTTAAAGTAACAGTACTTTATCCATTTAACCACTATAACAATAAAATCTCACACTTCTTTATCTTAATTGCAGCACATTACAGGTTGTTATGACAGTTATTAAGTACACTCCCCAGGTAATTGTTGCTCTGTTTGAAGGGAAAAAACTCAGACTTCTATATGAATTGCTTGTGATTTTGTTCTCTTCTATTCAAATTACAAGATTTTGTGATATGTTTATACTGAATTTAAGTTGTTGGCTCTGAAAAATCTATAGGTGGTTATGAATTTCCGGCGAAAGAGCACAATTGGATTTAGTATTGGCAACATTTTGCTGGATTTGTTTGGAGGTTTAACAAATTATGGGCAGATGACAGTGCAATCCATAGATCAACGTGAGTTTCAGCATTTCAATTGTATATAGTGTTCGACTAACATACTTTGCTATTTCTATTTTTTACCTAGTTAAGGATTTCTATGAGATTCTGTATATATGCCTAGTGTAGAAATATTTTCGAACTATTTTCTGTACAGATTCTTGGGTGAACTTTTATGAAAACATCTGCAAGACCTTATTGTCATTGGTAAGAAATACTCTTTTATACCCATCTATTTATTTACTATAATTCTCATCACATTCTCTTTGTTTCTGATTCTTGCGCCTAATTACTAGTTATGTGAGGCAAAGACAATTATGTGGTTTTGATGAAATGAATGTTGCAGGTGTCGATATTCTTTGACATTCTCTTCATTGTGCAACATTATGTGCTCTATCCTTCTAAGAAAGAAGTTGTTGCTCCTGATTTTGATATGGTAAGCAAGAAGCCATTTCTTCAATCTTCCGATCATCCACATACTGTAAAATATTTATAGTATATTTTGATTATGTATGCATAGATATGTTAAGTAAAGACTGTAGTTTTGCCTGTACAACTTAGGAGGAACCAAGGGACATTGAGGGACGATGATTGCAGCGATGGCCGTCGCAAGTTATTGTAGGCAAATTCAGTTTCTTGTACAACAGAGTTATTAACTAGCGTTGGGAGCACCAATTCCACGAGGCAGAACAAAGATCTCAGGCATGGTTAAGTGGAATCTGGTTTAGAAGTTTTTCCAATCTACAAAGATACAGTTCCTACTGGCCATTTGGAGAGAAATGACAGTAGATGTTTAGAAGGAAAACTGAAGTTATAGAATACGTATGCGTAAAATGTACATGTTATTTTGGTGTAAAATGCATAATGTATATTGCTTGATAAAAGGTTTAATACTATTGTCGGGTTAGTTTGGAGTAGTTACTGTGATAAAAAAAATGGTGTTGCAAGCATGCGAGTTGTGTAGTATGTTAAGTGATTATATCTGGGGATATGGTTATGGCTTGATACAGCTTATTCAGTCTCATAAACCATGTTGATGTGAGATTCAGGTCTTGAAAAAAAATTCTGAATG